CATCTTTTAAAAACTGGACGTCAAATCCTACTGAGGAAATCAGAACGGAGCATAACTGTGGGCTAGTCAAGTGTGAAGTATAACAAGGCAGGCTGAAAAATAATTTGAAGAGCAACTAGCAAAAGGCACAAAACTGAACAGCAAATTGTTTTTTTAAGTACATGAGAGGCAGGAAGCGAGGCAACCAACCAGTGGGGCCAAGGGATGATCGAAGTGCAAAAGGAGCACTCAAGGACGACAAGGCCATTGTGGAGAAGCTGAATGAATTCTCTGCACTGATTTTCACGGCCGAGGATGGGAGGGAGATTCTCACACCTGAGCCGTTCTGTTTAGGTGGCAGATCTGAGGAGCTGTCCCAGACTGAGGTGTCGGTAGAGGAGGGTTTGGAACAAATTGATCAATTAAACAGTCATCAGCCACCAGAACCAGAGGGTGTTACCCAAAAAAACTGGTTTTGGGGTGCCCCCCCATAGCCCATTGATTGCCCCCGCAATCTGTTCTTCCTTCAGTGTGGGAGTCTCTGGGGTGGCTGAGGAAATACATGGAGGATGCGGATCCAGCCTTCCAATCAATGACTGACACAAGCCGCATTCTTTCCAAAGCCAGGCCCCTTTTCTTGACACCAGTAATAACGGCCCCGGCACAGTCACAGTCCAGACCTGGAGCCCTACAGCCCCTCACACAGCCCTGCCAGAGAGTTTGAAATGACGCCATGTGGCTGCTCCCTGTGGCCGAGGACCAGGCGCTCACAGGTTACGGCTCAGGTATCTCCCTGCAAGGGCAGACCCCAATCCCCAGTGTAACTCCCCTGCTCCATCACAACATGCTTCAGGGCTTCAGCCAGCCACTGACAGGGGTCAGGAAGGGATTCCCCCACACACAACAAAATAATGTGTTGTGGGGTTTGTTTCTTGTATCTCCTCCCTCTGCAGCGTCAGGGCTGCCCCCGGCTAGAGATGGACCGGGGGGGGGGGGCTCTGTGGGGGCACCCAGCATTATCTCACCCACGGGCGTGGCTAGCTGGTCCTTGTGCCCATGCGCAGGGTGTAG